ATGGCCGTAGCAAGCGTTTTGCTTTAAGCCTACTAACTATAACGTAATTTTCGACTAAAAGTGTTTCCCACTGTCCAAAGTCGTAATCCTTAAGCTTTAAGCGAGCTGATTTCAGCTTCTCTGAGATTGTTATGAAACAACGTAACCCCTTCATTTCGACTCGCTAAATAATTTTACAATGCTACTGGCAATATATGGCAGTTAGTTTCACAGCATAAATAGCGCCACCTACTCTGTCATATCTAATGTGTAATGGCTGGATCATATTGTACGCTTCGACCAGTCGATGGCAATCGGCCAGCGACGTCGAAATGATGTAACGAGCTGGAAAATTTATAATTTAGTCTAGCGTCTCTAGTTACTAGCTTTTCACTCCAGCCGATTAGTTACATCGCTGCTCGGACATTCTATATACCAAGGGCTCTGTCAAACTCTTCTGTCCCTTCGCACCCCTTACATCTCATCGCGCGCGGAAGAGCGACCTGGGGTCGCTAGGTTTCGCGCGAATTGAATAAACCTTACGACTGCGTTTCCAGGGGAGGTTCGCTTCCGTATTAATTATAGCGCAGGTTGAGAGCAGCATCTGCCGGTGACGGCATCGTCTCGTACGACGAGAAGGTGTGCGCAAGGAGATGGGGTGTCGGAAAAGGGCGAGAACGAGAAGGGGTAGAGGCAAAGGAAGTAGAAGATGCGGAAAAGCGCTTCTGGAGGAAGGATGGTAAGGAAGAGAGAGAGAGAGAGAGAGAGAGAGAGAGAGAGAGCGAGAGAGAGAGAGAGAGAGAGAGAGAGAGAGAGAGCCAGGACCCTCGATGCGGTGGCGCACAATAAAGAAATTCCACGATTTCCAGCGGGATGATACCGGACGCGAGCGCGTTGTCATCTTCGCATACCACCACCACCGTTCGGTCGCTCGCTCGCTCGTTCGCTCGTTCGACGTTCAACGAAATGCGAGCTCTTCGATTTAATGAAATCCATCGGCGCCAAGCCACCCCGGCGAATCGACATCATCTCGCGCGTGGGAGATACCCCGTTATCGCCTGAAAAATTAAAAATTGCCATCCGAAGCGCCTGTCTCTCTCTCTCTCTCTCTCTCTCTCTCTCTCTCTCTCTCTCTCTCTCTCTCTCTCTCTCTCCTCTCCCCTCTTCCTCTCTACCTTTCTTATACTCTCTTTTTTTCTACACCAAGCGAATCGAACTCGACCGAGCTCTCCTCAGGAAAGGCACTCACACGTGTGCGACAGCAAATTATATTTTGCCGAGAATACTCAGAAATCAGTTGATTCTCGCGTAAAAATCTCAAGAGACACGATCTTATTCCGATCCGCGATTCCGCAGATGAATTCGCGCTCGATATTGATCGAACTGCGAGCAGCGCGACAGACGCGACGATGGTGGATGATGGGGGGTTAATGATTTTGCGGGATGACGCGATTAAACGCGGCTGAAGCTTCTCGCGAGAGCACTTCGAGATCGATCGTCAGTTGCCACGAGCAACGTCGCTCGATCAGGCTAACTATTTCGAAAAAATCGCAGTGGGCGGAAGGTCGCGACGCGAGTCGAGCGGCCTGCGTCCACCCGGGCCGAAAAATAATCATGTCCTCGTGGTAAAACAAATTCTAATAATTCGTGGAGCACGACGACGATGTTCCTCGCGCGCGGCTAAGTCGCGCGCCATCGCTTCTTAATCCATTGCTCGCTCAGCTTTTCGGCGTCTGAGCGACGAGAGGACAACGAGACTCATAAAACTGATCGGCGTGAATGCGGAAAGGCGATTTGCGGAATCGCCGCGCTACAGAAGACGACGGCCGATATCGAGTTGGACTCGCGAGAGGGAGGCCTACGTCGGCGGGATGGAGAGAGCTTCCCTTGAACGAAAGACGAAGGAGAGATGCTGAAACGGACGAAGCCACCCCGTAGTTGCTACGTCGTCGCACGAATTAAATTGCGACTACCGAACGAAGCATGTCGACTGTCTTCGTGGCCTCGGCGAGAAGACGCCGCGCGCGACTCTGGCGAGAGAGACCGTGCGGGTCGTAACTCGCGACTCCCCCGTCGTATTTGCAGGTAGTGTTGACTCATTGAATTCTATTCATCGAGCATCCGAGTTGCGCGTCACTCAATTACGCGTTTTCTCAGCCTCGCGCTTTCTCTCTCTCTCTCTCTCTCTCTCTCTCTCTCTCTCTCTCTCTCTCTCTCTCTCTCTCTCTCTCTCTGTCTCTCTCTCTTTCGCTCCCTCTCTTGCCCTCTCTTGCTTCCTCTCTAGCTACGTATATTCGGGGGACGAGTCTTTCATGGCCCCTCGATTTCCGCACAATGCATGCTATTTGGCATCCTATTGTGCTCGCTGACTCGCTCGTACATCTGCGACACCGGTTATCAGAGATTATCGACATCTTTTTGCGACTTTAAAATCACGCTCGGTGAAACACTGGAATTCTTTTGTCCTTGTCGGAGCAAGCGAAAGCTCAAGTGCGTCGAAATTAATTCCTCCGATTTCACACCCGTGGTATTATCTAAGCGAAATTATTAATTATTAAATTATCTGAGCACATGGTATTATCTGGCGAATATCTAAGTTTTTACAATTACAAAACGTTAGAATTAAAATGCATCAGTAAAATTTCTGTTAGTATTGATTAATTGGTAAAATTAATATTTCTCTGTCTACAGATGTCATCTCTCTCGCGTGAAAGCGAGATTCGATCGTAAAACTCAGTCGCAAGCGGCAACAGGATGGACGCAATGAACATCAGGCAGGATTTCCATCGCCGACGGGATAACGATAAAGATATCCGAGGTGGCACGTGGGGAACATGGTCGTCCGCTCCTCGCCATCATTCATCGTGAAATTAGATCGTAACAAAGTGAAACCCTCCTAGAAGAAAACTTCAAGTTGATTATCAAGATTATCAAGTCAATAAACCCCAAAACGGAACAACTCCCAGGGGGCTTTAACTTCCTTTAACACTCTCCTCTACACATTAACTTGTACTCTTTTGGTCCTAAAAATCTTACAACGTACTCCCGGAAAAATGCTCCTTATCTCTTCTATTTCTCTCATATCTTAGTCACTAAACTCATGGAAATAAAAGAAGGAAAAAGAACACTCGCAGCAAGCGACTTTTAACGGCATATTATGCTCGACGTAATAACGCAACGAGCGATTACGTAAACGCCGATTAAGTCTAACGACGAGCGATTGATTCGCCTGGCCTCATCTAGTCGCAAGAATCGCTAATCAAAATAATCCGACCCGGATTGCCGATGAAGGGGCTGGCCCTGGGCGATCTCAACGCGACCTCTCCAGGTAACAACGCGTTGTCATCCCGATGATGAGCTTCGGGCCAGCTCTGTCCGGGCGTTACTCGGGCGCTAATCGTCCGTCGCGTGCGAGAAAAAGCCGCGCGGCTGAAACCGATTAGCGGCGACTCCTTTAGCAACAAGTTGCACCTCGTGTGTTTTCCCCGGAGTTTCCTAAAATCAACAAGTGAACTCGCTTCCTGCCTGGAATTTCTATATTGCTTTCTCGTTCGACTCCACAGGTGGCAAACTGGCAACCAGGACGACTTGCTGAGAAGCCGCGCGTCGCGTCGGTCCGTCGTTATTTGCCTGCCTCGGCGAGTCGTGACGGAGAACTCGCGTGACGGAGGAAACGCGCGCGTTCTATCTCTCTCTCTCTCTCTCCTGTTGCTGCACTCGGCCGTTGTCGAAAATTTCAGCGGGCCGATGTCGAGGGTAGCTGCGCGCCGCCACGCCCACGTAACCCGCGACGCGACAAAATGCACGGCGCTATCCTTATCCGCGGAATGTGTTAAGCGCCGTTTTAATAAAGAGCCGACGACCGAGCGATGAGGACTCATATAAAGAATTCTTCGCGATCTTTGCATTCCTGTGTAGCCTCGAAGTAAATTCCGCGTGGCTCCCGCGGATTCCTAGGTCGACCGTGGCCGGGGAATCTTGATTACGTTCGTGTGCGCCGTGTTAGACCGAAAATTACGAAACGACTCGGCTCTCATTCAGCATTTATGCCTCCCCGCGCGCACCTTGACTCGGCGCAGGACAGGCTCGAAGTGCAGGGCGGGGAATTGTCTCGATTTTCGCTCAGCACCGCGAGATCATTCGGACTCGAAGATTTCGGATTTCTAAGCGATTCTGGGGTATAGAGAAAAACGAACAGTCGCGAGTGACCAGTGCCGATTCTGCAGAAGATCGACCGATTCGTAAAAAGGGTTGAAAAGAAAGCCAGAGGGAGAGAGAGAGAGAGAGAGAGAGAGAGAGAGAGAGAGAGAGAGAGAGAGAGAGAGAGAGAGAGAGAGAGAGAGAGAGAGAGAGAGAGAGAGAGAGAGAGAGAGAGAGAGAGAGAGAGAGAGAGAGAAGAAAAAAAGAGAGTTGGCCAAAAAAGCGGTAGTAACAGAGGGCGTCGACTTGCAGCTCGATGAAGGGAGACAAACGGCCAGAATAATGTCGAAATGAACCGCGCGAAAGAGGAACTCCCTGACTGCCGGGTGGGGAACACCGAGAGGGGAAGAAACAACAAGCGGGGAGGTAGGGCGAAACGTTCATTAACTTATTCATTATTTTCAAGGGGAAAAAAGGAGGCGCGGTGACAAAGAGCGAGATGAAGGGGAGGGCAAGTACAAAACAGAAGTATCACATTGTTGTTACGTTATGTCAATGTGCGCGTTACGTGCGCGATGCGTACATGTGGGTGGGCGTGTATGCCTCTGTGTGTGTATGTGTGTGTGTCTGTGTGTGTGGGTATGTAGTCGCGTGTGTAATAGTCGTATGCGTATATGCGGAGAACAAAGAGAGACGGATAGAGAGAGCCGAGAGGATGGCGACAGGCAGCGCGAGAGGGAGGGAGGCAGCGGGAGCGAGAGAGCGAGGATAAGAGAGAGAGAGACAGAGAGAGAGAGAGAGGGGCGCAAAGTGCCGGGGTGAAAAGCGGGGAACCCAGTGACCATGCGCCCTGTGGCGGCTGGGGGCTTCTGGATCTTTTCGAGGATCAAGAAGAGGACGTCGAAGAAGCACGGGAGACGCAGACGGTGGTGGACAGAGAGAGCGACGGCTCCGGGCCGGTAGAGCGAGGTGAGATGCACCCTTATCGCCTTTATCGCTCTCAATCGTCCGTGCAGTTTCTATCGGGGTGCCCCGACGCTCCTCGCCAGCCGGGACGCGGCCTCGACGACTAGCAACGATAGCGGCGATACAGGAGGACCGGAGAACGCTCGCTCCGAGAGAACCGGCCGACACACCGGTGAGTATACCTTGACGGAAAAACGTTAACGTTACGCAGTGAGCGATCTCCCGGACCCGGAAGCGCGCGATAGTCTCGCGAAAATTCGAGCTGAGGAGGGCGTGTGACTTTCGGAAATGTTTTACCGGACGTCGCGGATGTCCGCCGCGGTGACAATCGCGATGCGTCGAACCGCGCGCCGAGAATGTTTTTACATTTATTTATCTGTGCATTTTCGCGTTATGTGCTGTGCCAGCGCCGATTAAACCTTTGCAATGTTGCACCTGTGACTAAAAATACAAGATGACGCTGAGAGAAAGAAGCTGAAGAAAATTCAGAGTACTTTTTACGTCGACGTTAAATCCTTCCGAAACGACGACAGTCGTTTCTGTTGATTTTGCACGGCTACTCAAAACAGCGTATATTATATGTATTTATTATGTACTCGTTCACAGACGTGTCGCATAGAGCAGCCTAATTGTTTCGAATGACAGAGGGCGGCGGGGGGAGGAGGTTAAACGGCCACATAGAAGAGTTACCACATTGTTAAATGTTAATAATTCGTGTTGCGGTACTGCGCGTTTAAATTGTTCGGTGGAAGTATTAGATTTGACTGAATTACCAATTACCAGATGATCAATAATTCTGACTTATAAATAACCCGCTGTGACAAATTACTTATTAATTAGAACGATGGTTATTGCGTGTAACGTAAATTTGATTGTAAAAGGCCAACTTGTACGCGCAAGCGGACGTCCTCATTTCCCGGGTTAAACGAGTGAACTTCAATTTTGGACCAATTTTCATATTCTCGAACAATAGTAAAAAAAAAAAAAAATATGTGTCTCGACGCAGTGCAAAAATATCTCTCCACACTCCATTTTCTGATAGCATAAATGTTACGATATTATTTGAAGGCAGAGTACCACATTGATTTAGCGTGTGTCAAATCTTGCTCATCTGAATCCATTCAATTAACGGTTCGAGGCACCCGTTTTAGGAAAAAACAACACCGAAACTCGCGCGTATCAAACGCAGCATGCGGATGTCGTGTACTGATTCCTTAACGATTCCTTAAGTCTTCTCTATGTAACTCAAATAACTCATTATTAAATATCAAAATAACATCGCGATTCTCTCGCTCCCCCCCTCTCTCTCTCTCTTTCTCTCATACTCATACACTTCCAGTACTTCAGCGTGACCGTTCAATTACGAGCTCGAATTATCCCGTCGCGAGGCTACCGTTCAGCAACGTTAGTCCGAACCAGGAATTCGGTAATCGCGCTTAGCGTTCAAGTCACCACGGTATTAATCGCGCTCTCGCACTCGGTACTCGACATACGTATGTGTTGTGCGCACGGGGTGTCTACGGGACACCGCTATTCATCCTGGCTGAATTTTCGCCAGTGTCTTTGACTCGTTGACACGTCTCCGAGGCACGACCGGGACACTCGTGCTGATCCCTTGGTCTCGTAAAACCGGATTTCCCGATCGCGATCCACGGCCGAGAACAAACGCTCTCATTTCCACGTGTCAGCCGCAGCCACGGGGCTGATCTTTCCCTTCGCGAGTTCACGTGAAAGCGTAGTCGAACGACCAAGCGCGGGAGGGTCGTCGACAGACGCGGAAGACGCGAGACGTCATCGCACCAACGGCTGCTTGGAGAGAGAGAGAGAGAGAGAGAGAGAGAGAGAGAGAGAGAGAGAGAGAGAGATCGTTCTTCCTCCGCAGACTGCACTAGCCCCGTCAGCCGCGTCTCGTTTCGCGGAGAGAAACGTTGTTTTCTCGATATCGCGGTACTTCGGGAGGTTGAATTTGATGAAGACGATCGCGGGGTAGGATAACGTTGCTCGGACAATGCTGATAACGAACAATGAAGTCTCGCGTCGCGTAAGTTGTCGTCAAGTTCAATCGTGCCATTTACACGGACTTGGGCAAGGTAGACTCTTTCGGGAAGCCTCGCTGGGACTTTGAGCAGGATGAGAAGGCGATTTTCGTCCCTTCATATCTTCTCGTTGCCGGCCGGCTCCTGAGACGGGAACACAGTGATAGAGAGTGAGTGTGTGCGTGAGAGGAAAGAAAGAGAGAGAGAGAGAGAGAGAGAGAGACAGAGAGACAGAGAGAGAGAGAGAGAGAGAGAGAGAGAGAGAGAGAGAGAAGAGGGTCGCTCCAACCTCGTAAGGTTAATAGAGTGATCGGTAACAAGGTTATAAAGCAATCTGCATAACCCTGTCCAGTACTTTACCCGACCTACGGGTTTCACGTTACTACGAGCGGTGTCGTAATTACCAGCTTTAATGCGATTACCGGATCGACAAGGCCGGTAACCGTGAAACTCCGTCAAGTCTCTCTCTCTCTCTCTCTCTCTCTCTCTGTGTCCCCCTCTTACCACCCGGTTTTTAATTACCTCGTTTTTTTCTCGTAATTAATTCTCGCGTGAGTCTCGCTAAAAATCTCAGTACGACAGAAAATACAAAGTGGTTCGAAGTATGACGTGTTCAGTCGTCTTCGTAGATTTTAACCCTTTCACATATTTTCACATACACACACACACACACATACACACATGCGCGCGCGTGCGCGCGCAAACGTAAAACTTCGTTTAGGAGAAAATAAAATTTGAGGGAAATCGACGGAGAAGCGCGGTGCGATTATTATTTCGGATCGGTATAACTGTAGCGATGCAACGAAACGCACGGCGTGCTTCGCTCCGCTCGCGTTTCGTGCGATCGGCAGAAACGCGTGAAGAAAGAGGCGATAGGCAGGACAGCGGCAAATTCGTTTACGCACGATCGAAGACGTAATTCTATTTCAGGATTGCGTGTCTGACCTAAAGTCTCGTTTCACGGCTATCCGAGTTTGATTTACACCCGATCCCTTCCTCGTAGTCGCGCGTTTCGACGCGCGAGAAGCGGAAGAAACGTAACGCATTGCCCGGACTCGAATGGCTTCTAATTTCGCGAACAACCCGGCGTGTGCTGAATTGAAATTTATCTATGAAGCCGAATGCGCGATATGGGGAGGAAAGTCTGCAGCGCTATTACAAACTGAGCGTAAACGGATGCGCCTCTTTCGCACACTATTCATACCCTGACGCTCCGAAATGCGTCGACATCCGATCGTAGAAATGTCTTCCGGAAACGAACGTGATTTTTGCATTCAGCGCGCGAAGGAGACTGATCGAGTTAACGTGACAACAAACGGACCGAACGCGTTCTGACCGAATGGAGGGGAATTTCTGGTTCGTGGAACCGAATTTACTTCGTAAGAACTTGAAATTCTGTCTCCCTCAAGCGGAACGCATTCGGCTCGTTTATTGCGACGTTAATTCAAGCAAAGCTTCTTCGCCGTGAGTGTTACGTTTAACAAACTTCTAATTTTCTACGCGGCTATCATAATAGCCGCGTGACACATAATGTCATAACGTAACAAAATACCGCGAGGTACGCGAGGAAATATTGTAATCGCGCTAATAAATATCTGACTCACGTCCTAGTCAAGATCTCATCGACCTTGGAGACGTAATCCTTATTTAGCTTCTGAAGACACGTATGTTATGCCTGAATGAAAGCGTATAGTTTAGAGAAAACAATGGTGCACACCATAGAGAAAGGCAACACACGTTCGTCACGAGTAACAAAATACTTCGCATGTACCGATTTGTACCTCGCAGCGTAATGTCGCTTCATTGAACGGCTGAAATACCTTCGTCCGGCGATCTATCCCAATCTGCTGTATCGAGCAGTTCGACTATATTTTTTCGTCGTGAGCTTCCGCCGAGCCATTTCGCCGATGGAAACGCACGGGGAGCGAGCCTAGTGTGTAAATATGTTTTTCATTTGATACGAAATTGTAGATCGTATACGCGCGTATGTCGTATAAATAAAAGTCGCGGACAAGAATAGCGTTTCTCCCGTCGAGTCGGTGCGACTTGATTTCTCCCTCCGAAGCAATGATCCAATATTCCGTGTGTCTCAATCGAGACATCGAATAAATCAATTCCATCGCGTCGCTGCGAGCTCAACTCTCGTTTTTCCCAAATTCGGATTGACTGGTAAAAAGAAATCACTCGATGACACGGGAAATTACTCGTAACGTAATTGCCAGCCAAGTCACGCACACGTTCGTGCGTGTAATCGGGACAAATTTACATTTAAAAAGAAGAAATTAGTCGCAGTGGCCGCGAAAGCGGTAAATTTCGACGAGAAAGATCACGACGTCAATAAATAGCTTTAACGACGCCGTGATTAAGATGCGAATTAACGAAAGCGAAAGAATATTTGATCGTATAGACTGTGCGGCGCCATGCAATCTCGTATAATAAGTATATACGGCGTGTCTCCTTTTAATTGCGTTCAAAACACGCTGAATTCCGCTCCGTTCTCAGAATAGCCTGGGGACGGAAATGTTGTCAATTTATCGGCACGTCCGCCTTCGTCCGGCAAAATTCACCAAGCGCCCGGGGAATAAACGGAGCTTCGAAATCGAGAGGACGAGCATCCCCGATTTTTCCTTCGCGGAACATCCCGTATAAAGGCATCGTTCTCCAATCATCTCGCGGCTCGACTTCTCCGCGTCTCGTACTGAGTTAATGAACAGATGGTGGCGTTATTATAATGTAGAGAGGACAGTAGTGCGTCGCGAGATAGCCGGCGGCGTGCACGCGGAACGTCGTCGCTGAAACGTTAACGTTAACGTACGATACCCTCCTCTACTTAATGTGTCGAAGCAAACTCGATTACTTGCGACAATGAAGACGCAAGTGTATCTCGTAATTCAAAATACCGAAATACGCGTAGCGCACGTGTCGTCGATTGCACGATCATTGACTGTAACGAGCGACGCGCGTCGGTTATTTTGTTTACTCAACGTGCTACATGTTGTATAATTTTTGTCTACCTGAACGTGTCGAGAGAAAGAGAGACAGAAAGAACTGAGCGTAGGAAAAGACTATTTGATATGTATCATTATTCATATCATCATGTATTATTATTTTTTGTTGCGTTCTCTCTCTCTCTCTC